AGGACAGAGAAACTTTTTCTGGAGGGTCCATCCAATTCTCTCTCACACTCATTGAGCTCATGGATAAAATAAATGGCCATATCTCCGTAGTCATTAGAGATAACACCATCAAACCTGGTATCGTTGGATTCCTCATGATCTTTCCTAATAAAGTGCATTGAAAAATAATTTCGTAAGCTACATAGTAGATTGGGATATCCCGTTTTGAAAATCTCAATATTTTTAGTGAAATGAATTCGAAAACAAACGTTCTAGTGTATATTATTTTCAGATTATGGGAGACGGTACTCGTCGAACTATTACATTATCTCATACAGCCCAGATGAGACGATTCACTTCTGACCTTCTCAGGGTATTGAAAGTACAGCCGTCCAAACAAATAAGCATTATAGATTTTCCACAGGCATACGAGAAGGTTTTGAACAAAACATTTAATGCTGTTGAGTATGGCCTTTGCACTTTCGAAGATCTCTTACAGGAAGTACCTGAAAATACGATAGTCATAAGTAAGAATGATGCTGGAATATTCATTGCCGTGCCGAAGCGTGAACAGACTGCTGAAGAAATAGTGAGAACAAAGCAGTTTGCGGCAGAGGTATGTAGAAATGCATTATGGTTTATCGATACAAAAACTTCATAGGTGTCTTTTTTTTTCAATTTAGGTTATAGATCTTCTGAGACATTCTCCTTACTATACGATGCTGTTTAATAAGTTTGTACCTGCTTATCATCATCACTTCGGTCACCAGTGTAAAGTGTCGGATTATGGTTTTACGAAACTAATAGAATTATTTGAAGCTATTCCAGATATTGTGAAGGTGAGTTACATATAAAGTTGGTGCTTGATAGCTTCTGTGAACTAACATTTTTCTTTAGATCGAAGAAATGCCAGATGGTGAACGGACAGTCAGCCTAACTCTACATCAGTCTTTGAAAATCTTAGGGTCCCAGATAGTACAAATTATAAGATCTTCAGCACAAAATTCTATACTTATTAGTGATTTACCTAAAATTTATTTGAGGGAATTTGGGTATCCCCTAAAACATAAACATTATGAATGTAATTCGTTACTAGAGGTTACAGCTAAACTTTCAGAATATGTTCAAGTGAGTATACTTTTTTAACACGCTTTTATTAGCTTCACCTGCCTGTATGTATGTATGTTTGTTACTCTCAAGCTCGGGATATGTATTTGACAGAATTATCGACATTATTGCTTGATCTATTCGGGGACAGATGGTGCTGTACGTAACCTCCTTGATATAATTCGAACTCACTTTACATGTATTTCTTCATTTGAAAAAAGTATCTTTTCATTAACACGCGCGCTTGCTGCCTTATTTGTAACCCTCCTTTGCGTGCCTGCTGCCTTGGGCTTGGTAGCTGACTTTCAGGCTCCCTCTCCGGAATCGGAAAATATCAATGGTCATTTTTCT